TCTTATTAACTTATTAAAAATCGTTGGTGTCTTCCCATCTGAAGTAAGTTGAAGCTCCAAAAAAAAAAGTACTGTTGAAATTAGTCTTAGGTCAATGACACCATGACCTTTGGTGCACCTTTGTGGCTAAAATATATTTTCCTAATTAAGTAAGGATTGAATTATTGCTTTTTATTTTAACCTGATTTGGCATTTGGGCTGCATTAACATGACATTTCTTACAGGGGTGCTCCTGCTTCCTTGTCTTATGCTGGATTCAATGAGCAAAAGTCGCTGTTATGGTTATCCCACATGGGATATCTCCCCTTTCATTTCTTGTGCTTATGCATCACCTTATTTCTGCTTCCTCTTTCCTGGAGTATATAAAATGTTCAAAAGAAGGAAATGGCTAGTATTTTCATTCTTTTTTACCATAGTGTCTGTGCCCAATGTTCACCCTTGGTGCCAAGTTGCCTAGTGAAGTATCTCCTGGCCTCATACTGATGGTTAGGTCACTTAGGATATCAGGAGATTACTTGCATTGGTTCACCCATCAAACCTATGATGCCAATCAATTTTTTTTTTTTTAGCAATAGCCTAAAACAGGGGTGCACAACTCAAATTATTGAGAGGGCCATTTCTGATTTTCACTCACCAACTGCAGGCTGCAATCTGGCCACCCATAACTTTAGCCAAAAGGGCAGGAGCTGTAGTGGCACTTCCAATGCAACCAGTCACTGCAGGCTGCAAACAAGGGCCTCGCGGGCTGCATGTGGCCTGCAGGCTGTATGTTGTGCAGCACTGGCCTAATATATCATTCTTACCATTCCTTCTGAAAAAAATTTGTGACTATGTTCAGAGTGTCAACTTTCCATTTTGTGTTTATGCCATTAGGTTTCATACTTGCATGGTATTAGAGGCAAAGATGGTAAGGAGAACATCATCCACATGGTGCAGCCCCTTATTAGCAAGGAAGTAACCCAGAAATATTCTTTTCTTGGAAAGAAAGAAGTGCTTCGAGGAACTAAAATCTGCAAGTTGAACACAGGTTGGTAAACATAGGCTGTTTCTCATCCATTGCAAGTCTCATAATTTGAAAACATGGCATATATCATATTCCGATATTTTCCAAGGGGTCATTACAATTTTTGCAATTTAATTCCAGCTATTTCCTGAATGCATGCAAGAATATCAGTAAGGAAAGGGCTCAGTCATAAAATTTTATTGACTGTCCCACTTTCCCGTGTAATGACATCAAGTCAGAAAGGTGCTGTGTATGACGTGAATGTTTTGCATCAGAATTTATTTTTCCAAGTGCTAATTTGTTGCCAAGGTTATATTCATGTTAATTCCAAGCAGACTGAGATTTGACTTTGAAACTTATATGTGAATTCTGTATCCATCATCCTTGCATTTTTTTGTATTCCTTTTCCTTTTCAAGTTGCTGCTAGGAAGCTGGCATTGACAGAGAAGAAAGTGAGCAGTGCTGTAGGGAACTCTCTTCAATTCTCCTGAGACTGAAATGGAGGAAGATGTTTGCAGAGAATCTACTAAGAAAATTTTTTTGTTTGAGGGTATCTGTTCTGGAAGATTTTTTGTGAGGACCATTCATAATGTCCCCAGAAAACTTTATATAATGATACTTTGGTTGGTCCTCATACTTCTCTTCTTTATGTTGAATTTTGAGAATTGTCTTTGTTATTTGTATTTGTTTTTGTTCAATTATATTTTTTGCATTCATATACTTGTGTTGCTCTTTTCTGATTTTCATGGAGTGCCACTGTATTTTGTGCTTTGGAGAAACTATTAAGCACTTCAGTTTGAAATGTTTTAAGTGGCATTCCAATTCCACA